GGATGAACCGAAAAGGACATAAAAACAATAGCCAAACCCATCAAATGTCACCTTTGCTTTGGGAAGCTGAAACCTCAGATTTTAAATGATGTTTTGATTAAAGTTGTTCCCATTTTATAAGAAGCCAAAGAATGTACACCTTAACCGTCCAAAACTCGATCGTCAACAATGCTTTCGTTTTTCTTTTTGATGAAGATCAAAAGTTTTATGTGGCATTGGTTCCCATTTGTCAGTGGTTTCGGATCTATTGTTATTGTGTTGTGTTCCTAACTCCGACGCTAACGCTATCAAGGACGCCTCTTAGGCCCATTCATTAATGCCAGTTTTTATGCTCCATGCATATTGAATAAACATTTTGTTTGTGTTGTATCCATTCTTCTCAATCCATTGTTTGACAGAACCCGTTTTTCTATACCGATTTGTGGCTTCATTTTTTGCTTGGTTATTATTGTATCTTCATCATTTATGGAAGATGTACCTAGCATTTTTACACTTTCTCCAAGTTTTACTAAACTGCTCTGGTATTTGTTATATCTAACATTTTGAGCAGGTTTGGGTATCGTTTTGTTATATTTGGTGATTCTTGTAGAATCTCTGCTGCAATAGAATTGGTGTCGTTAATGTTAGTACTGTGCTTTTCTTTCGTTCTATTCGTTTGCTGTGAAATTTCGAAGGAGTTAATTAATTATCAGATATGCATATGGTATATTATCGAGACGTCCGTATTTTGCGAGTTATTATGAATTACTGATTGAAGTTTGTTTTGTGATCTCTTGTAGAGCTTTATTATTATACATCATGTCGTTCAACACTATTTCTCCCTCTTCCCCCGAGTTGCTCCGTTTGGCTGTCGTTTTCAGCACATTTTCCGAGATGCTCACAGCAACTTATAATATATGATTTGAGATACTCATTACTGCTCCAGATATTTTTAGAGTTGCTCATAGCTGCTCTCAATATTTTTATAGATGCTCATAACTGCTCAAGATCCTTTCGAGTTGATCAGGACTGTTCCGATGTTATCCGACATGATCATAGATGCTCCTGATTATTTTCGGATTGATGAATTTTAGAAAATCTAAATAAAGTCTTTGCACTCTCCCTCCCCCCGAAAAAAACCCAAAAAAATATAGGACGATATTTAGTGACACTTTTAACTGATTAAATTCTTTGGTATGTTCCTCGTTCAAATGTTTGAATGTCAAAGTATATATGTAGGACTCTGAACCGCGATGGTACTCCGAACCGGGATGGTCACGCTGAAATGTGATGGTCTGCGCTGAAGTGCGTTGGTTAACACGCTGAAGTTATTGCAATGTTTAATTATATAGACCGGTGGCATCTTTTATTAGAAACCTAGAGAACGTATTGTGATATGTTACAGTATCTTGTATATTTTTTTTGTTACCTGTTTATTGTATTATAATTCATGATTATTATTGTATATTTACCTAATGGTACACTTACTAGTATATGTGTCTGAGCGTTGCTTAATAATACAATCTTAAAATTTTGAGAGAAAAAAAAGAGAACGACACCGCCAAGTTCATTTTTGCTTGACTTATGTCGAGACGTATCACATGTTCCTCAAATAACTTTAGAATTAGCTGCGTCTCCGCTGATCAGGAGAAATTGGGACGTACATGTAGGGACCAGTCGGGTTTATTTCGGTCTAACTTGCTATAGAGGATTAACACTGTAACCACAATAAAATTAGGCTAGAGTGCTGGTTTTCTTACAAAACAGGATTTATCTCGGGAATAAAACAAAATTATCTCAACATGTTGCTAAAAATTAAAAAGAGAAGTCAAAATTAATATTTAGATCATTTGTTTTATTAGTCTTACAAAAGGTTTGCGGCATACTTCTGAAAACTGGTTAACACATGTATAGATCAAGTTCATCTTTCAGCCGCTTTGCATTTTTGTAACCTCCACCTGCACTACTCAAAACTGTTCGAAACTTGAATCGTTGTTGCTTTCTTGTTCCTTTCCTTTCCTTTCCTTTGTTAGCATGAAACCTTCATTTACAAAATCTTATCCTCTTGCCTACGATTTGTATTTAAAGTAACGTTGTATTTGAAAACGTCGCAATAGTCAAGCGTCATGCCAAACCATCGCACTTCAGCGAAAGGACCATCGTACCCCAGTGCGGACCATGAAACTGCAGCATCCCCATCGCACTTCCGAGTCCTACATATATGGTACCTGATTCACGAAATCTGTGAACACTAAACACCTGCAAACTAAAGAACGATTCAAATTGAGTCAAATATTCGGCATTGGATCAAAACAATATTCTAGTTTGAAAAATAAAATGAAACGTTTTTTGACGCCCGTCTATGTGATATGACACTTGATAATCGAATTTACTTCTATGCAATTCTTTTCTTTGCAATATGTTAAATTTCTATGAGCCAGACTAAGGTACAGGTATTGTTTTGACATGAAATGACTGTCACTTTATTTAAAATTCAGACGAAATAGTGTGAATATTCTAATTTGCAGAATTTAACATAGAAAGCAGCGGAACATACCTACATATGTTAAATTTTCCGTATAGAAATTTAGAGATTATTTCAAGATAGATTGGGTTATTCTTTGTATGTCCTTTCTGGTCATAAAGATCCTCACGTAGTCAATTACATATTACATATACATATCAATAATTTTCTATGTGATTTACGGTATACGTCATGGTTAAATATGTTTTTATTACTTATCTATTGAGACTTCTCTGCACTAACTCTTTATGCCTTCCTCTATATTCATGCACTACATTTCCTTGGTGCACTTGGGTCAATATCAACATAACCTTAGTTTTATTATAAAATGACATGTACAACACTTGTTTTAATATGTTTTTACCTGTCATTTGTCTAGATTGTAAATGTTATTGATTTGCAATACGTCAGTTCCGGGATACGGTAGTTAGTTGAATCTGTCATGTGACTTCCATCACCACGTGACCAAAATGTAGGCATCATCACTTCTAACACATGTCGAGCGAACGGGTGAAAAAGTTTGATCTTATACTGCACAAATTATTTGGGAAATTAAAATCTAATAAGTTGGTCACCCTCCCTTCATTCGTACGAGAATTAAGATTACGGAACATAAATTATTTCTAGAATACCCTGCAGAATGACGATTTGATAGGGCTGGAAACTGTAATAGAGCAGGGATACAGGTTCGCCTTCTATTTGGTAAATGACGTCATAAAGGCGTGCGAAATTGAAGATCTTTTCCGGTGAAAGACATAATTCCAGAAATAGCCTATTGATTCTTATCATCTTTCGAATCTTTATGATTGAGCGTGTTCATGAAAATGAATCTAGAAATAAGATTTGGACCCAACAAATATATAAAGTGTTATTTTCCTTTTCTACCATTTTCATTCACAAATTTATTGGTTTTTACAGTTTCCTTGTCAACGTTTTTTTTTAAATTGATACGACAAAAAGGCTATGTGGGAGTACGTTAATGAGGCCAATAATGACCGGAAAGTGTATGGCAACACAAGAAGTTGTATAAACAATTTAAATAGAAGATATCAAAGCCATCATACACCAATTTCTTCAAATCGCGCAGTACATAACATTAAACAAAATGTTATTTCTGTCCTAAGTCCAATATTGTGAACCGACATCATTTTCGTTCTCGTGAATTAGGATGTATCATATACCAATATATAAATAACACATAGCTGAGAGGGTGATAGAGCAGATTGTTACCCCGAGAAAACATTGTCAACTGAGGCGAAGCCAAGGTTGACAATGTCTTTTCGAGGGGTAACAATCTGCTCTATCACCCTCTCAGATATGTGTTATTTAATTTATTATACTGAATGTTCTGTTATTACTGTCGATTAAATTTCAAATTCAAAGTAATAAACTATGACGTCTTATACATAACAACCATCCGTATTTAATAAAGCGCACACTTGATCAAGCGTTTCCGTGAAGGGTAATAGAGTAAATTAACACCCTCGTATAAGCCAATCAAAATGTTGCATTTTTACGTGAAGTATAATAAATGTTTATGTCACTTTTGATCATATAGCACTTCACGTGTTAAAGAACTTATACATCCTCGGCTTTCATTTTTTGGCTTAGAGTGTTCCGGATGAAATGTAATCCAGAAAAGCGCTACGATCAACTTAAATTTATTAGTTTGTTTTTTATTTACAACTGTGTGAGACTTGGAAATGGCATGATTGGTGGTTGAAACACCTGCATTTTATTCATTTGTGCTTAATGTAAGTCCAACTTTTAAATAGTCCCACCTCCGCTTCTTCATATTTCAATGTTAAAAAATTTACAGTCATACCCTTTATATTTAATAAAAGATCTTACGACTGAAATTGATAACAAGCTACCTCCGATCATTTTCCCTAGATTGTGTGCGTGTGTGATCAATTGTTTTCGAAAATAATATTCAAAAGTAGATTGCATGCGAAAGGGCGAAATCAAAAACAATCATATAATTTAGGAGTAAACCGTTTATTTTATGATATATAACAACCACCACGAAGATAGAAATGTAAGGGTATTTGTTCAACAAGTTCAGGCGTCTAGTGGATATATATTTAATAAACAGCACCTGTAAAAAAGAAATACATAATGAATTTATATAGAAAAATAAAGTAAATGCCAAGTCACGTACCTGTTTTAGCAGCCTGTAGCAAAAATACAATGTACGAAGAATACTCGAAATGTTTTAATATATTATGAGAAGTTCATATTTAAGTTAATCATTTAAAATGTTTGTACAGCAAACTTAGTTATCAATAACTTATCCAGATGAAGAGTTGTGGGTTATAGCAGCTTTCTTATAGAAAATTCTCATTCTGATCTATCCTTTTACACTTAATGTGCATTGACTGTAGCTGTCCCCCCCCCCCCCAAAAAAAAAAAAAAAAACAAAATGATATCAAGAGTAACTGTCAACAGCTAAAACGTTAAATATGAATATTTGATAATCACTGATTTATATTCTTACCTTTTCCTGATGCTCTACCACCTAATCCAGCTCTTAAACTTCCTTGAAGGGAACCTGTGAAAGGTACAATTATTTAGTCGTAATTATATTAAGGTGATACATAACACTACAGGGAGATAACTTTTTAAAAATCAGCTGAACGTTTTAATCACGTTCTATTGTTAAGGAGATGTTAAGCTTCTCAAAGATTAAAATTAGTGTTTGTCAAACTGCTATATATAATTTTTTCTGATAAAGTGTGTGGTTCAAGTTTTTTGAAATTTTTATATTTTTGTCAAAGTGTCAAAGTAAATATTTGGTCAAAATTTTATGAAAATTAAACGAGCCAAATTAATTTTAGTCAAGGTGTTTGGTACCACCTTAATTTCAATCAAGTGGGGTATACATGTACCACAATGATAATATTGAATTTGGTTTAACAACATTTGTATGTTGAAAAAAAAAGTTTGGTATGCGTCCTTAAGACTACTACTCGTCAAAACATAATAGCAACAACAAAAAGAAGGAAATAATAAGTCGAAAAAATAAAAACACACAAAACAAGTTTATCAAAAAAGAAAATAGATTAAAAAAAAAAAAAAAAAAAAAAAAAAAAAAAAAAAAAAAAAAAAAAAAAAAAACAAGCATAGATGTCATCATAGTTGAAATTTTACAGGAGTGGTAAATTTCTGTATCACAACATAAAAACGAGAATATATGCTTGTTTATATTTAAGTTGCACTTAAGGGTGTTTGTTTTCAATGTATTGTTAAATATTCCTTATTATCGTTAAAATAACTCAAGACATACATGTTTCTCATGAAGTTAAACTTTACGGTACAATAACCTGTGAAAAGTTGGAAAATTTGTTTGATTATATTGGATTGAATTGGTGTTATGACACATACAATGCCGCTTGTGAGGTTTTCGGAAAATATTTTTTCGTACGAACCAAAGTGTATTTGAATAGAAATAAAAATATGTATTGCTAACTGTCCCAAAATATCAATGAAAAGATAGCTGTTGCGGAAAAGATCAGATAAATCTTGCTCAAAGTTTTTATATGTGTCACAAATCTTCGTGAAAATCAATATGTCATTGGCATATTTATTAGTTTTATTTGGTGGGACATCAATAATTGCCTTTACAAATAATTCGTGTGTGCGTGCTACAATTCAAGGGAAATAAAACAGTATTTGATGATATCGTACGCTTCATTGTTTTATGGGGATGGTAAAGGGTTGCTTTCGTGCAACGTGTTTGCAATTTATTCAATGTGTTTTCGTGCTTGAAGCTTATTACTGACAAAGTTTCGTAAAAATTGAAGAAAAAGCAACGTGCAAACTATTTTTTGTTTGTTCATTGTGAAATGTACATTTTATTTCCTGTTCGTCCGTACACATATCCCCTCTTTACAACCCTCTTTTAATGTCATTGTAATAGAGTAAGTCCTGACATTTTAGAATAAAGCAAATACTCAAAATAAAAAGGATTGCAGAACGCAACTCTGGTTTGATATTTTTTCATTAAGATTACAGGTATTTTCTATTTATGACTTGTATTTTAAAATCAATTTGAGTTCATTTCTTAGAAAGATATGCTTGCAATAAATGTGAGTTTACTATCTTTTTTAATGTTTAATTTCTAGACATGTATGTTATAGAAAAAGAGAGGCGAAAGATACCAAAAGGATATTCCAACTCATAAATTATTTATAACATATCCTGAATGACGCCGATGATTTTCTATATTTACCTGAGAGGCTAGAACTGCCAAATCCACTAGTTCTTCTGGCAAAAGCACTTCCGAATCCACCAGAAATTCCACCACCTAAACTACCTGTCAATCCCCCGGTACTACCTCCAAACCTTCTAACCTGTCCGGCAAATCCACCCCCAAATCGTCCAGAAATTCCACTACCAACACCTCCGAATGCAGTTCTTCCGGCTGAACCAGAAAATCCACCACCGAATTGACCAGAAAATCCAGAACCAAGACCTCCACCTAATCCACCTCCGATAATACTGCCAAATCCCCCGATTCCACCAGTCAACCCACCTCCTATGCTACCAGTGTAATAAGCTTGTTGAAGAGCAGATACATAATACATCAATCTGAGGTAAGCACTGTAACTGATGGTAATTGACTGACCGGCACCACTTCCAATCAGGTTGCCACCTCCCAATGAGGCAGCGAGAGCACCACTCAGAGAACTGGATATTCCACTTCCACCAACTCCACCGCCCAATGAGGCAGCAAGAGCACCACTCAGAGAACTGGATATTCCACTTCCACGACCTCCACCTCTACCACCCAATGAGGCAGCGAGAGCACCACTCAGAGAACTGGATATTCCACGTCCACCAACTCCACCGCCCAATGAGGCACCAAGAGCACCACTCAGAGAACTGGATAATCCTCTACTACCAAGTCTACTGCCAATTAATGAGGCACCTAGTGCACCACTCAAGGAACCGGATACGCCACTACCACCTATCCCACTTCCAAAACCAAGACCCAAGTTGCTACCAATTGACCCGCTTACAGATGCACCTGCGAAACCAGAGAATTAAATATCAAAAATATTATTTGGTGTATAAGATTTCTTTCTGTAAAGTATATGTTTTAAGAGAACTACTAGTTGATCACATATTTTCAAAAACGATATTCTAAACATATATAAATATCAATCAAGTATTGTATACTAAATGATTAGATAAGTTATAAAGTTATTGTAATGTTGATGAAGACCAAGCTTGTAGATATATTCTATGGCTTTGTGTTGTTGCGTAAATGTCAAATAGATGTAATACCAATATATCCTTTTACTCGTTCTTTGGATAAGAAATGAGCGGTTTACTTTCTAACCTATAGTAATATCTCAGACTTTTGATTTTTCAGAAGAATGTTGTGTTTAAAGTTATGAAATCAGTGTCACATACCTCCTCCGCTGCCACCAAATTTACCACTGGCATGAGTAAGAGAACTTGTAAGCAATAGAGCAAAACATGTTATGCAACTATTCATCATCATGTCTAAAATGAAGAAAGATATATTGCAGTTTTAAATCTGAATTGTAAAGTTTAATCACTTAGAAATATCTTCAGTGGAAAATTTGCCATAAATATATTCTGTGTGTGGTCATTGTTTGTATATATAGTGTGTCTTAGCACTTTTATTCAAAACTGTCTTCTTTGGTAAAACAAAAACCGGAAATGATTAGTTAAAGGGTTAATTAAAGGATAAATGCAATTAACTTGTGAGAGTTTTCTTTTAAATAAAGATGGTCTTATAAGGATACTATAATTTGATCTTCAAATGGTAATAACTTAATTTATGTTTCACAAATTCATTTTATTGATTAAAAATACAAAAACTTTGCATTGCTGCTGATATTCTTGCATCAGAAAATAGATACATTTATATTTAGTACATTTATTTTAATGTAAAACTAAGATTATGAGGAATGAATACCTTAGATATAACATCGTTTAAAAATAGTGTACTATAATACATTTCTCAATAACATGCATAAAAAAATTAAATGAATCCAATATTTTACAACGAATATCATTTCGTATACCACAGAAAATAATAATATAATATTAAATGCTTTGACTAGAGACAAAACTTAATGATAGAATTTTGAAGACAAAAAACACGAAAAGAAAGCTCTTATACTAGTATGCTTTCAGAAAGGAAAAGAAAAAGAGGTCACCATCCTGATATTCTGGCATCAGAAAATACTATGTGAAAATAATAAAATAATTTATGACTGCATGGATTGTGCTGCCCATGACAATGTCACGCCTTTGTATAGGAAAACAAGCGATAAGCATTATTTAAATCGTAAGTTCATGACTGTAGCATATGAATGTAATTATAAGAATTGAATTTTTCTTTTTTTTTTGTAATTTTTAAAAGGTTATAAAAGCGTTGATCGTGCGCACATTTTTAGAGGAAGCGCTTCAAACAAAAAATGCTTCAGTCAATGCTTTTACACCCCACTAAACTCACAAAAAGGAGCATTCAATTTTTAAATTATATAATAAGTAGCTTGATAACAAGCACGCGGTGACCTATACTGTTAAATATATTTTTGAAAAACGTATACCTCAATACTACCCTAAGTATAAAATAAGGAGATGTAGTATGATTGCGAATGAGACAACCGTCCACCAGAGTTCAAATGACGTGATATAAGCAATTATAGGTCACTGTGCGGCCTTCAACAATGAGAAAAACCCATACCGTATAGTCAACTACAAAAGGTCCAGACATGACAAATGTGAATCAATTCAAACGACAAAACTAACGGCCTTATTTATAACAATACAAATTACGAAAAAAACAAATATAACAAACATTAACCAACGACAACCACTGAATTACAGACTCCTGACTTTGGATATGCACATAAAAATTGTTGCGAGGATGAACAGGTTTGTGCACGCTCAACCCTCCCCTTACCAACTGGGAATATGGTGTAACAGCACAACATAATAGAAAGTGTAAAATCAGATGCAAATAGCTTAACTCAATTCTTTTAAAATATTAAAGCATTCTTTTAAAATATTAAAGCATTCCTTTAAAATATTAAGGTGACTGGAAGAATTTTACAAATAGGATTGAATGGGTATTTTTGAAAGACATAGTATGTACCACTCAAAAACAGATATCAAAAAGGTAAAACGTTAGAGAAGAGATATTTTTGGAAGTCCTTATCCCTTTTATGTTTATTTCGAATTAAATCTAGACTATAAAGTTTTTGTCTAGTCAACAGAGTCCAAGGTAAGGAGAAGTTTGGCACGCCCGCATGCATGCTTAACCTCGTCACATTCTGTATGTGCCTGTCTCAAGTCAGAAAAAGTCAATACTAATATAAAACACTTAGTTGTATCATAATGTTTAGATACATCAAAAATTTAAATACTGAAAATATATCTTTTACTAAATTTCTATTAAAATAATTCAAAATGATGCAATTTTCATATTGAATTCAACTTTAATTACAACAGCATTCATGTGCAGTAAAAATGTACATAATATTTTGACAATAAAACATCATACCTTTATTTTTCTTGGTTGTCTGTGGAACTGACAGGAGAATGTGAGGAGGACCTTGGTTATTCTTGTTTATATCAGTGCGCGTACGTGTTTTCTATTTTATTCACGGGCATTAACTGTCACATTAACACTAACACGGAATTGTAAACGTTGTGTGTTACATGATTTTGAACCGCAATATAAACATTTACTTCTGCTTAAGATGTAATTTTATTGACAAATATTAATCAGTCTGATTTATTTGTCCTTTTTCATTTTTTTCATAAATTTTAACATCAAATCTCTTACAATGGGTATTACGTAATTTGTGATTATTTATATAAACATATAATTCCGGCTTCATGGAAACGATATGTGTCTCAAGAATAAGAACACCAGGTTCAATCGAGATCAGAATTAGATTACACAATCCAAGGTCAGATATGATATTGAATATATTACGGTTCAACAATGAATATGTCTTCCTGTCTTGTAAACTTACTAAAGAGGTCTGGAACGATATGTAGTGAAAGTATTCGAAAGACAAGAAAATGTATTTTAACAAGTTGTTCAAATAAATTATTGCATTTTGAATATTCTATATGTGCGTATGTCATACTAAATATACACTGGTTTTTTTTATTCTGTTGATAAGAAAAATATTTTCTCAAAATACGATATCCTACTTAGTTCAACGGAGATACCATTATCTTCTATTAGCTATATATAGAGAGGGATAACTCATTCTTTGTATAAAAAAGTCACTCTGTTTCCAATTAAAAGTTCTCTGAAATTGACATCATTAAGGTGCTTGATATTTTTAACCCCGAAACACATTTTTTCCCCTCTGTCCGTTCATCCCACATAGGATACATTTTTTGTTCAAATAACTCCTCCCACAGTTTTCAAGCTACAACCTCCATATTAGGCAGGATGTTGGTACATCTACTGAGGGTGTGCATATTATAATTACCTTTTAACATATCACTGAACACTGGATGTTGAATTTAGTCATTTTTGTGAAGTTATGGATGCAGGGTACATGGTTTGTCCTACAGTTTCAATCTTGAAAAAGAGCTGGAAGAAACCAAAAGGACAATCAAAACTCTTAAGTCGAAGAGAGAGTCAGACCGACAACACACCATCAACTATTGGAATATCGTATCAACTTGGAGACATATACTCCATATCCAGGCACTGCTGGAGTGTTGCTACATAGATGCAAGGATACAGATACACATAATTCAGCCTTATATCTTGACTAACATCAAGATATTGACACTAACGGTCGGTTGAGTTCAAAACTATAAGACAAATAGATGATTTCAGCTTTCAAATTATTAACTTTCCATTTCTATTCAGTTTGTTCATCCACTAGAACTTTCCTTCGGATAACGTCATCGCACAAAAATTAATCTTAAAGTTATTGAACAAAACATTCACTGGAATGATGCCCGGCGAGAGGTTCCCGGAAAGTTTCTGGATAAAAGAACTAAATTTATTTCATCCAAACGGCATCAACAGGAAGCAGTTTTCGTTGATAGAGGTGTTCATCAATTTTATTTATACTTATATTTACACACACTACTACATTTTTACAGTATTTGATGTATAAATACGAAGCTACGTCGCAGTAGTTCGTCTTAATATATATATTACACACCTCTATCTAAGAAAACTGCAATATGTTAATGAGTCAAAGCAGCCATTCCAAAAATGCTTCAATTGCCATAGGAGTGATATCAGTAAGAAGCCACATCTCCTAGTTAGTCAAAATTTCTGACAATCGGACCACAAACTTGAAGACTTAAACCGTATGAAATGCCTAGTGATAGCACAAAACATTCACTGGAATGATACCCAGCGAGAGGTTCAGGAAAACTTCTGGATAAAGGAACTAAATGTACATCATTCAAATGGCATCTACAGGAAGTACTAGCAGTTTTCGTTGATTGAGTGTGTTCATCTACTATTCTTTTGCATATATTTACACTAACTACTATACATTTTGACATTGTTGAACGTATAAATACGCAGCCACGTCAACATATGATAGTATTGAGTTTTTTTTTCAAAACTTACCTGAATTACTGAGTTATTTTTTAAACAGTAAAACAAAATAGTATTATATTGCATTTGATAGAAACAGTGACACGAACTTCAAGGCCATTTGTTGCGCCGAAATATTTGTCATTCCGAATTTATTACATCTTGTTCGTACAGTTTAGTGTATATTATTATCATATATTGATTTCCTTTATCAAGACTTTTATATTGTTTTCCTTATTATATTAATACCATCTTCCTTATTTGTTATCAATAATAGCCGTCTATTTGTGTGTATATAGAAATTTCAATGGTTCTAATTTCATAATCCTCTTGTCATCATAAATCAAATTAAGGATGCGGCTTTTTTTTAACCTTTTCGGAATTGATAAATATTTCTCTATACTTTATGTACAGATTTAAGAAATCGGTAAAAACATTTGGTACTATTTGTTTTTTAA